GAGATTGGTCTGTAGTTCTCTTTCTTGGTTGGGTCTTTCTCTGGTTTTGGTATCAGTATGATGCTTGCCTCCAGAAATGAGTTAGGGAGAATTACACAGCCTTTTCTTTCCCCTCCACTTTCCTGAGTGCTAATGTATTCTCGTATGAAGTTGATGCAGACCTCAGGGAATGTTTCCATGGTGGCTTCTCTTCTTGCCTTTTATGACAGAAACACCCTAAACATCTTAAACTTGATGTGTGGTCACATACAAAAGCTGCCGTCGGATCCTCACTATCCTGTCATTTCAGTAGGAAGTGCTGAAGGAACTTTTAAATGCCTGGAGGATAATTTAGCCCCTAAAGACTTCCTAAGAATTAAGAACTACAGAATAGGAGGGGACAGGGAGAGCTAGGAAGGGAAGGGAGCAAAAAAAAATTCAGATGTGTTATATGCATGTACATATTCCCCATGATAAATGTAATCATGATATACTGCAAATATGTACTACTGAAAAGCACATTAATAAAAAGAAAAGAAACAATCAGAATAGCTCATCCAGTCTGTTAGTCTCTGGCAGTATCTTAGAGGACTTACTGTATTACATTGCTCTCTGACCACATAGCCTAGAGTTAGAAGATACACGAGTGGAGTTCTGCTTTTAGGGACCCCACACCTCAGAACAGTGGTGTATTAGGGCCTCAGAACTGACTGGTGTTGGATACATGAGCAACACCGTATACAGTGTTCCATGCTCAGCTTTTGCAACCCCTCCTTTGATTTGTAGCTCGTTCTGCACCCTTCCTCCGGACCAGTGAGCTCTTGAGCAGCAGAATGTCTGGACCCCACCTGCATGCTTGCTCTCCAGGGTAACTCTGAACTGCCTGGCTTTACCTCCAAGCTTTCCAGTTCATCCACCGCTTCCCAGCAAGATGTGCTGTAGAAACTGACTGGCCTTTCTGTTGCTGCAGGCCACGTGAGATAGGAGGACAGCTTTGTGTTCAGCATAAAAACATTCCCCACATTTCCTCCTCAGCCCCTCTGTCTCCGAGCACTTGACCCTGTGTCACTGGCTGCTCTAGCATCATACTTTCCATTCCTATGTGTCTTAGTGACTTTTCTTGCTGCTGAGACAGTATACCCGACACCCGCAAGGTAAGGGAGGAAAGGTTTGCTTAGCTCACAGTTTGGAGAAGTTTCTGTCCATGACTGGCTGGCTCCAAGGCACAGTGAAGGCAGACAGACAGGCATCACAGAGAACAGTTCCTGGCCAGCAGAAGGTAGCAAAGAAAGCAAGGAGCCTTAGCAGCTTCTTTCTGCCCCTTTCATACTCTCGCTAGGCGACCGGGCTTAGGGCAGTACCAAACCCATCAGGGGACTGACTCAGTATTCACACATGCAGATTCGGCCACCTGTGGAAAGCCCCACCTATGACCACATGAGGCCTTGGGGGGACATCTAGACACAAACCCCAACACTGTATATCTGCTGCTGGGAGGAGAGGGCTGCCCTGAGGAGACTCGCTTCTTGCAGATGTGTGCAACGTGGATCACCAGAACAAGGCCGGGTACACCCCCATCATGCTGGCAGCCCTCGCGGCCGTGGAGGCAGAGAAGGACATGAGGGTCGTAGAAGAACTTTTTGGCTGCGGGGATGTGAACGCCAAGGCCAGTCAGGTGAGCGTGCATGCTTCTGGTGTCACCGATGTGGCTGAACAGCAGTGTGGAGAGGGCTGCTGTGACCAGGACGGCACAGCGGCCTCGGTGTCACAGGGCCACCTGCGCCCTTGCACCCCCGGGCAGTTCTTGCTGACTGAGCGAACTCGCGACACGTGGGCTCCCGCTTCCCCGTGGGGCCGCAGGCCTGGCCTACTGCGCGTCCCCACCAGGCGCCAAGTGTCTACTGCTTCCTGCTGTGGTGTCTCCATGCCAGATGCAGTCTCCAGTCAAGACGTGTGCGTGGCTTCATTGTAAACCTCTTCTGAACTTGCTGGCTCCTTCCTCTACTGAGTCGGAGCCTCAGAGCCGTAGCCAAAACCTGACCCCTCGCTTTGTGGTCTTCCTGGCTCATAGCCGACAACAAACTGGTTCCTCCCCGCCTGCCGAGTGACCGCACACCCGATTCTCCATCACCGCACTGTTCTCACCCGCTTCCTCCCCACAGGCGGGGCAGACGGCCCTCATGCTAGCCGTCAGCCATGGCCGGATAGACATGGTGAAGGGCCTGCTGGCCTGCGGGGCCGATGTCAACATCCAGGATGACGAGGGCTCCACTGCCCTGATGTGTGCCAGTGAGCATGGGCACGTGGAGATCGTCAAGCTGCTGCTGGCCCAGCCAGGCTGTAACGGCCACCTGGAGGACAACGTAAGCACCCCTGGGCCCGCATTCGCGTTCAGGCGGGGCTGGGAGGGTGGAGCCTCGGCAGCCTCGGGCGTGGCCCTCGGGGTCTCTTCCCTTTATGGCCCGGTGTGGCAGCATTTCCTGTACTTCCATTCGCTAAAGCCAAGCGCTGAAAATAGGCCAGAAAAAAGGTGATTTGTGGGCACATGTGAGAACCAGTGTATACTACAGGGCAGCAGAGAGACCTAGGCCACAGAAGCCAAGTCAGCATAGGCAGCTTCTGAAAAGCACGCAAGGAGGAGCTGACCGGGTCACTCACTGGTCCTCTGACCGGGTCACTCACTGGTCCTCTGACCGGGTCACTCACTGGTCCTCAGGGAACCTGCACTTCTGGTGATGGGACGCTGGACTGAGCAGGTGACTGAAACCAGTTAGTTCCTTTTCCTTGGGGGGTGAAACACTTTCCTGCCAAAGGAAGGGAAGGCAGAGGACTCTTGGGGCCCATCAAAGTGAATAACTTGTTTCATAAACTAGGGAAGCAAAATACCACCCTGGCTTTAATCCATTTTCCCACTTGAGTTCAGTCTGTTCCTATAATCATCCCGAGTTCCAAGCTGGCCCCACTCCCAGATAACCTTAACCTAGGAAATCTTCTGAGGCAAAGGACGTTTCTGGGTGTCTCCGGGCCTGAGGGGAAGAACGTGATAAGCAGAAGGCACTAGCTAGCCCGTAGCAGTAACGTGGGCTGAGGGTCACGGAGGTCAGGCTGGTTCTGTGTTTGAAAGTTTATCTCTGTGCAGCACAGGCTTGAATCAGAGCTTCCTTCAGCTCAGAACTTCAACAAGTTAGAGGGAAAACATCCTCCTTTGCAATGACTTTCAGATCCGCAGGGCCCAGGCCAGCAGAAACAGACCAGTGGAGGTCTTTACTGGCCTGAAGGCTTCCCAGGCCTTGGTCCTCAGTCACCAACACAGAACACAGTTGGCCGGGTGTCACATTTCCCGTAACTTCCCGAGAGCAGCCAGGGTTTCTAATTTACCTTTCCTCCAGAACAGTCTGCATAGATGTGTTTTGGGTTTTGCTTGCTTTTACTACCTCTGCAAATAATAAGCTTGTAGATGAATAGTGAGAATCCACAGAGCTGCAGGAACTTCCAGAAATCCTGGCCATTCCAGCAGATTGCTCACTTCCTTACCCGAAAATAAGTAGGAGGTGGTCCAACTGGCCTCCGGAAGAAAAGCAGCTCCTAGAATTCACAGCATGGGCGGGAAGGGCCCTAAGATTCAAGCCACATTTGAATTGTTTCCTGCTGCTCATGACCAGAGGGGAGGCCTTATTCCAAGACCAGACAGAAAATAAGTTACAATGCTGTTTGCCCTGCTGTGCGTCCCCTACAATTTAATGGAAAGCAAACAATGAGCTGCAAAGTTTCCTTTTGCGTGTGTGGCTGTTTCCCTTGGCATCTTCATAAGATACACGTATGTAAGCAGCCAGGCTTGAATGCTTTACGTGTGGCATTCAGGAGAGATGCTCAGAGCTTTGGGACCACGGCTCTGTCCCCAAGAGAGAAGTGAAGAGATCTCTGGCACAGAGCTACACCTCAGACACACACCCTGGTGCTTGTTTGTTAATTTGTAATTAGAAGGAGGAGGAAACTGCATTATGTTTCTACCCCACCTCCTCCTGCCCCCTCGTCACGGGCAGAGTGGTTGAACAGGAGTCCCCCGTGGGCTACCTGCGTTTCTGAGGATCCGGAACTGCGAGCACTGAGAGGCAAAGACAAAGTGAAAGGTGATCTTCGGGGAGGAGGCTGGTTTCATTCGTGTGCCCGCACTCGGCCCCCAGTGCTTGCGCGTTCTGTAGACGGCTCAGTGGCTGGCTGGAGGGGGCTGAGCGGTTGCTGCAGCGTGTTTTGTACTCTCAGCTGTCCGGACACTTGAGAAGCACCCCCTGCCTTGTCCTTCTGCTTTCAGGACGGCAGCACTGCACTCTCCATAGCCCTGGAAGCAGGGCACAAGGACATCGCTGTTCTCCTGTACGCCCACGTCAACTTCGCCAAAGCCCAGTCCCCGGTCAGTGTTGTTCACTTGGCGTTGGTAAACAGACTGACCCCCGCCAGGCGGGCGGGTCCCCGACCTTGGGGAGCTGATAGGAGACGCGGGGTTGGTGCTGGTTCTGAAAATGGACGTTGCAGGCTGGAGCTTAAGCGTTCTTCATTTCTGCACCACCCTGAGAGCCAGGAGAGCTGCGGTCCAGCAGAGGCTGGGCCCGGCCCATCCTGGGGAGACACATGCTCCGCCTTGGAGTTCACGCTGTGCACAATTGTGGCACAGGCCGAGTCTGTGGATACGTGTCACCACATTCCTGGCATTGTTCCTAAAGCTGACCATGGGCGGCCTGCAGTTCCGCAGCGCACCCCGAGTGGGAAGCTGACTTCCCGTGGCAGCTGACAGACTGAGCCTGCTGTCCATACAGCAGGGCCTGCTGCTGGTGGACATCTGTCTCATGTTCTCAGCCAGCGCGCGCCTGGTGCCGCATCGTGGGTAGTTATCAGCTGTGGTGGACCAAGTTTTGAGGTCACGGGGGGCACACGAGCCTTACTAACCCCGCTTTTTTCCCCTTTGCTGGTCTCCTAGGGCACCCCTAGGCTTGGAAGGAAGCTGTCTCCTGGCCCCACTCACCGAGGTTCATTTGATTAACATGTGCAAAATAGCCCTTCTTTGACATGCCACCAGTACGCTGCTAACTGTTCCCGTCGGGCTGACAGATACTGAATGTAAACAGACTGTGCCTGAGCTCACCAGCAGACAGAAGCATCCAGGCATGGGCGAAGGGAGGAGGCTTCTGCAGAAGCAGTGCCAGCAAGAGATGCCACCCTGGGTGCGCAGCCTCCCCCCTGGCCCCTTCTCTCTGTGCTGGGCATGTTGGAAGCCTGGCTCTGTGGCTGGGAATCTCTGTTCCCTTATGTGCAGTGACAGCAAAGGTAACCTGAGCTGAACAGGCAACTTCTCTCCCTTCTCCCCTTCCTGCTACAACAGATGATTTTGTTAATTTGTGTCTTTTTAAAGTGAGGAAGCTAAGATGACTTGATCATCAGCAACTCAGGCAGCAGGCTCACGGCTTCTGGTTAAAAATAGATGGAACTCTCACACAGTATAAAACTTAAAGGAAATATTTCCAGTTGGTTTTATCTAGGTGGATGTATTATATGACTTTTTATATAAAAGGCATCTATATGAAATTGACACAGTATTTTAAACTTTTATATTCCACAGTAATTAAAGTCACAAAGAACTACATGTAACATTACCACATTTTTAACCATTGCATAGACCTGTGTGTATCTATTGATAAAGGTTGAATTGTCTTCAAGGAATTGGCTCTGTATTTGCCTCCAGTAAAACTTAGTGTATTTCCCTATGTATTTATGAATTCCTGTATACCATGCCACATTTACCTTGGTCTTGTATGTATTTAAATGTTTGAAGTGCCTTAGACTCTTGCCATTATTTTCCAAATAAAATTTTGTTAAGCTCTTTTCCTTCTCCCTGCCTCATCTCTGATAGTTGTTTGCTCCAATTTTGACTTACAGTGCACAGATGCACATGGATGGGTGGATGGATGGACGGATGGACGGGTGGGTGGAAGGACCAATGGGCAGGCGGGCGGGCAGGGAGAGCAGGGAGGGGGAATGCGTGGTGTCAGGTCCTGGGCTCCGAGAGACCAGCCTTCTGAGAAGGCCTGTGAGCTGCATCCGTGTCCCTAGGTGGCATGTCACAGGCAGACGTTGGAGACTGTTACACTTAAGGCTCATCAGCCAGATGCTCTCCCAGGGGACCCTCAGGTTGATTCTCCCAGCTGCAGGAGCCCCAGTCCTTGACTCTAATCATGGCGTGACTGCAGGTGACTGGTTGAAAAACAGCAACAAGAAAGAGAAGAAGCTGGACAAACTTCTAAAAATTTGCATCTTTCAAAGAAGACTTCAGGGAGCAGTGGAAGCAGTTCTGGCAACTAAGGGCACCCTGGGGCAACTGACTGCTCTCCCAGTGCCAGGCCAGGGGCCTCTGGCACAGATGGGCATCCTCTTCCCATGAGCTGATAGTCCGTCAGCACAAACGAGACTCATGATCCCTGCCAGCTCTGGGATCCGGGCTGAGCTTCAGGTAGTTACTCACGCCCAAGTCCCTACAGGCCCGAAATGGCCCATGGAATTAGAGTGGGTTTGTGCAGAGAACTGTCCCCATTTGCCTGGTCTTTAAAGGCCTCCATGCCTTCTGAGCAGAAAGGGCAATGTCTCAGGTGGTTTGTGGCCTGGAGATTTTTTTGTTGGTTGGTATTCCAGCTGAGGAAGGCATTAATATTGTAGATGCATGGGAAAGCTTGTCTCTGCCTGCCGTCTCGATCTTCTGGTGCTCAATTCTAGAGGGGGAAAGTGCTTGTTTTATCTGTGAGTGAGGTCTTATACAATGTGTATCTAACCTCTGGCTAACGTGCGCTGGTGTGGGCCTTGTTTGCTCTCATAACACTGGGCACTTCAAATGCTCTTTATCTTGGGATCTTGACACGCTGTATACACAAGCCTGATTATCCCCATGGGTTGGGATTTACTGAAGCACGACTCCATAAAGGGAGACGAGGGCAGGGTCCCCAAATGAGGCCAGCATAGGACTGAGGATTCCTGCTAATTCTCGCCTAAATGAAGAGGAGGCCAAACCTGTAAGTAACACAGGGGCAGTTTCCCAGGAGCTCTCATCCTGAAAAGTGAGCGGCTAAGGATGGAATTCACCCCGGAACAACAGACATTTTGAGACTGATGTTAAAACAGCTTGTTCTCCCACCATATGGCTAACATGGTGACCAACCTCTCCCTGAGCATGAGCATCTTAACGGGTTAATTTCTGCTACGTGGCACCGGCCCCCAAGTACATGAGCTCTGTGTATAGGTTGTCTATACCAAGAACAATTTTCCCACTGTAAATACTGAAACACTGCAGATAGGTAATCGTGCTTGTGAGTACGGAGGAAATAATGAGCAACAGATCATAACCACCTTTAAGTCTGCGGGGATCCTTCTTAGGGGAGTACGCTGTTTTCCATATCACAGCATGAAAATGAATTCCCGGGGGAAATTCGAATCTTTTGTGTCTGGAATCTGCTTCATTAGCAGCCATTCCACATTATTTCTCCAAGTGGCCTTAGGTCTGTACTGAAAATGTGTTACTCCCAAATTGTGAAACCCTCTATATTTTCTTTTCCAAGCAAGTTACGCAGGGTAGGGGCAGCTGTATCAAAACCAGCAGCGCTGTACGTTACCTTTAATCCGCCCACAGCCTGTCTTTCACTGTTGAGATACCAGTCTTTGTGTGGTGTTTGTCCACATTCGGTGGTGTTTCCGCATCTCCTGGGGTTGTCATTTCTAGAAAAGTCAGACATGAATGCCAGAGAATCATTTATACCTGAGGAGCAGGCAGTTTGTTGCGTATGTCACAGACCCTAAGCAAGCAGGCAGCTCTGGGAGGATTTCTCCGTGTTAATGTTTTCCTTCCCCACTTCCTCATGGAGCTGGACTATTCCTGCTCAGGAAGAAGGCCATGAACCATTGCTTTGGCTTTAAAATAATGACAGTTTTCTATTTTATTTTTTACTGGAAGCATAATATTTTTTTAGGCCCTGGGTCTTAGCAAGAAATGATTTCATTCTACTTTCTGCATAAGGAAATTACTAATCATACATTTACTCTGCTCTTATTTAGCATGGTTATAATTTAGAAGCCAGCCTGATTATAAAAAGATACTCTAAGCGCACTTTGTGGAAGATTAGTACCACAAAAGGATGTGGCTGAGATCTTGCCGGTGTTCCTGAGCTGTATGTGCTCTTTCCACCCGGTAGGAAAGTCCCAGTCTGGACAGTCCCAGTCTGCTCTTGGAGGTGACACATGGAGTCAAACTTGCCATGGTGGCCCTGAGCCACCAATCTGAATTCAGGCAAGGCTCATGCAGAGGAGCTGGAAAGCCAAGGACCGTTTTTGTGGGTGCATACCCAATCAGAAAAGTCGGATTTAGAGAACATTTGAAGAAGAACTGGTTTTTTAAGAAACCAGCTATCACCTCTCCCTTTAAGACCTTTAATGATGGGGAGAAGGTAGAAAATAGGTCTCTAATTATCAGATAATGGAACCTGCATAAACATTTCTACTCTGGCTAAATGTCAGTCCTCTGCTTAAGCCAAAATAAGTACACTTGCACCCCATTCCTAACCCAGGGAAAACCAGTTTACCCAGCCCTGAGCCACCTGCAAGGGCGAGCCTGTAAGACTGAAAGGATGTTTGAGCTGTGGACAGGCAGGGGCTGCTGGCGTGATGCTGTGTAAAGGTTGGCTGCAGAAGACCCACAGCAGCTGCATGGCCACTCTTTCCCCCTGTGTGAAGCACCTGAGGATTCTGTGGCCCCCCTGCGGTTAGGAAATATTTAGCATGCCTGAATAAACTGGTAATGACAACAATACGCACTAGCTAGGTTGAGTCCCTCACCTTCCAGCCCTACCTAAAATATTGTCACCTCCTGGAAAAGCCAGTCTTCTGACAAGAAGCTCACCAGGACCAGCCTTTGTGCCTGGGTCTGTAATACCTTCTGCCAAGGCAAAAGTTCCGGTGCCTGGCTGGTAAATGAACAACTGTTTAAAACAGAAGACAGTGGCCATGGTGGGAATGAGGGAGCTGGGTCGGGGCCAGGAGGGACGTAGGCTGCTGGTACTGGTCCGGTTCTTGATCGTAGCGGTCACTGCACTAATAGATGATGTGTGATCGCCATGTGAACCTATCTTCTCCGTGGCTCTGTGCTTCTCTGTGTGTATTTTTTTTTTTTCCTCTGTGTGTATTAACTTCACTTTCTTTGATGGTACTGAAAATTGAACCCAGAGCTTTTGCACTGAGCCACAACACTAACCCTTCTTTTCATTTTCTTTTAATTTTTGAGACAGGATCTTGCTAAATTGGCTAAGATACTCAGGCTGGACTGAACTTGTGATCCTCCTGCCTCAGCATGCCAGAATGCTGGGATTATAGGCATGCACCACCACACCCAGTTTCACAGTTTTTTAATTTAAAAAAATGAAAAAGTTTGATGAAAAAGATCCTGAGATGGAGGATGTCGATCTCAAGGTCAATAGGAAGAGACAGGGAGCAAATACAAAAACTGGCAGCTCTTGGCCACGTCATTTCTGCGATGCTAGTGCACAGCCACGTACCTGATGAGTGCTGGGTCCTCTCCTGACTTGTTCTCGGATACCCACACTTTTTTCTGGGTATGAAAAAAGGATGCAGTTCTTGCCCACTTCTAAAGTTAGACTGTGCGGTATGATTAGCTTTGAAAGGGCAACAGCGGAAGTGACGTCTAATCCAGTGCGCAGCTCACTTCCTGTCCCCCCAAGGCGACCAGGGCTGAAATAGGCATCTGAGTGCCTGTGTAGGGAGAGTGTTTTTGCCAAGTTGTGTGACAGGTGGGTGGTGAGCAAGGAATAAGCCATGATTAACCCTGCTGAGGTCACGGGCCAGGGGTGATCTCTTCAGAATATGTAAGAAGAGTGTCATGTGTAAACATGAAAAAGTGTCTGACATCACTGGCCATGAGAGAAATGTGAATTAAAATAACACTGAGATACCATCTTACTCCAGAAAGAATGACTATCAAGAAATCAGATAACAACAAATGCTGGTGAGGCTGTGGGGATGGGGACCCTTCTACACTGTTGGTGGGAAAATAAACTATTACAACCACGATGGAAATCAGTATGGAGGGTCCTCAAAAAAGAAAAAAGCTGGGCTGGGGATTTAGCTCAGCGGCAAAAGCGCCTGTCTGGCAAGCGCAAGGTCGTGAGTTCGGTTCCCGGTACCGGAGAAAAAACCAAAAAAAAAAAAAAAAGCTAAAAATAGAAATTTCATTCTAGCCAGCTATTCTCCCAGGTATCTTCCCAAGAAAACTGAAGTCATATTGCAGCGATACATACATACCTATGTCTATAGCAGCACAATTTATAATAGGTAATGTTGGAAGCAGCTTATATACTAACCAACAAATGGATAAAGAAAATGTGATATTTATACACCATGGAGTACCGCCCACCATAAAGGATAAACTTGAGGCATTTGCACGTAAATGGATGCACCTCAGACCATAATGTGAGGCAAAAGAAATCAGACACAGGTTTAAATATTGCATGCTTTCTCTATACGAGATACCTAAAATATAAATCCAGAACAAAATAAAAGATAATAGGAAACGGGGAGATCTTTTTCAAATGGGAAGGGGCCAAGAGATGGAGGGAGGAAGGGGGAGGGAAAAGGGATGGGACAGAATTGAAGAACAAATGGAAATACAGTTTTTGCAAATGGGAAGAGAAACGAGTTGAAGGGACTGGGAGGGAATGCAGAGGGACTGAAAACGAGATGCATACACCGCACATGTACAAACTCCCCACAATCGATGTCATTGTCATGTGCTGTGAACATTTGAATAAAGAGCTGTGTCTCTCAGATCAGCT